AGTATAGTCTCATACCTAAGATTCTCATTCTATCATCTACAGCCTCAAATGAAACTATAGAAAACTCTCAAAATGAGGCTGCCCTATATTTCAGAATACAGAATTACCTCCAAGTGAAAATACCAATATGTAAAAATATACTTTATGTGTGTGCTATAATGGTCACTCACATAAAATGTGAATCATGGTGCTGGAGAGACAGCTCAAGTTAAATGCACTTGTTGCTCTTGGAGCGGACCTGGGTTTTATTCCAAGCACACACATGGTGGCTAACAACCATCTACAACTCAAATTCTTGGGAATTAGATACTTTTCTAACTTCCTGGGCCCCAGAGATGAACATGGTGCACATACATACATGCAGGCAGAACACTCACATGCATAAAATTAATAGATCTGAAAGAATTGTTAAAGTTGATCACAGAATTCGAGAGCTGATTAGCAGTTATCAGAGCCTAGGGAGAGGAGGAGGAGGAAAGGCACAGAGCTCCAGCAGAAAGGAGGGATATGTTCCTGTGTTCTACTGCACGGTGTGGTGACTATAGTTAACAATATTGTGTTGTGCATTTCAGATTACTGAGAAGAAAGGAGTTTGAATGCTGACACCCAAATAAATAATAAATATTTAAAATAGTGGATGTGTTCATTATCTTGATTTGACCATGATACAATATAAATCTGTATTCAAATGTTTTTGCTGTACTCCACAAATAAATGCAATAATGTATCAAAGATAAAATAACTGTCTGAATGTCATGGCTCAGGCTTGTGGTATCAGCAATTTAGGAGACTGAGGCAAAAACATTGCTGTTTGTAGTCAGCCTGGGCAGGACATCCTGGTCTATAAAGCAAGAGATGATCCAAAACATTAAAAGTGATAATAAAATAACTGTAAAAACTAAAACAAACAAGCCAAAAACTGTGTGCAAGGAAATGGCCACATGTTTGACGATTGGTAATAGGAATTACCTGAAAAGAGAAAACGTTATAGCTTGGGGTTGGGGAGAGGCTTGGTTTTCAGCCTCTACCCTTTTGTACCCAGTGGTAAATTACCTTTCAAAGTATAATTATTTACAAAACAAAACTCTTAGAGCCATCTGCTTCTTTCTTACTAACAAATCACATCTGAAAGGGCTCTTTGGGGGTGGGGAGCGCAGAGTTTATTTTGTTCTGGTTTTGTTTTTGCTTTTGATCTTTGAAGAAGAATCACTATGAGACAGATACTGGGACCTTTTAAGTCACGAAACAGGCAAAGAGGGAGGACAGAGCTGCAGACAAGAAGGAAGGAGAGAGAAGAGAGAGGGAAATAAGGGAGAACTAGGATTTTTAATTAGAACGCATCTGCTGCAAAGGGCAATGTAATTTTGACCCTATGCGACTGTCATCTCAATATGAACGACAGGGGAGTGTTAGATATAGGACCTCCTACACTTGATCCCAGCACAGCAGGACAAGAAATCTATAGTTGCCGTGATTTTGAGAGGCCTTGGTAAAGGGAATGAATATGGAGAAACTAAAAATGATCCTGGAGCCTGAAAGAGCTCCATATAAGGCTCCAAAGAGATGGAATAAAAAGCTATTCTTGTGACTGTAGTTGAGAGTCAAAGAGACAGGCTTATACATCAATTTGCTTTTAAACAGAGAAAACCAAAACAAACAAACAAACAAAAAAACCAAACAGAGAACAACAAATCTGACCAGTTTACAATGGGAAGTTTCTTAGTCTCCTTCTTGGAAGACCTTTGCTGCTAAAAGACAGAAAGGGTTTTCTAGCTCATCTCAGTACTTTGTTTTTGTTGGACTAGGTGCTAAATCTTGCCTGTGGTCTGTGAGTTTTTGCAGCCAAAAAGGCTGGCAGGTCCATAGCATTTGCCATGGATCAAGCAACAGATCAAGCACTTTATATAAGCAATGTCATTTTAACTTGCACATGACACTGAGATCAAATTGTATTAACCCCATTTTCCAGAAGAACCTCATCTAAAAGGCAAGACGATTTGGCCGTGATCGTATGGAATCCAAACACCTACCCATTCCACGAGTGAGCATGGCTGTGTTCACGCCGAAAGGCTGACACTGAGATTTCCATGAAGACAGTGCTAAGACTAAGTCCCTGGCCAGGAGCGTCCCACCATGCCTAGAACACTTATAGCCCCAAAGCAAGAGATAGTGGTACTTACAACAGAGTTGTTGGATTCAGAGTTCCATACAAGTCTTTTCTTATGCTGAGTATAAAGACAACTGTGATTGCTGGGATTCCTAGAGGGGGCAAGCAAGGCAAAAGAACCTGTTCAATCCAGGGGGAAAGAGTCCTAATCAAACAGCTGTGGGGAAGGACACATGAAGACTCTGTTTAAATGAGACACAGATGTGTGGACACCAAAATATCATTGTTTACAAACTGTGAATTCTCCTAAGTTAAACGTTTCCAGTTTTCCAATCTGCTAAACCAAGCAGTATACCCGTGGCTGCATTGCAACACTCACTTCTTATTAAATGGCTCAAGTGCCAAAAAACCAGTTTGGCAATAGAAGTATCTAGTTGGTCAGAGTACAAGTCCATTCTACGTAGTTCTTTTCAGATGACGGGCCGCCATTTTTTTTTCTGCTTTTCAATTGTACCCCTTTGTTCCCACTATGTCTTTGTCGAGGTTACCTTGGAGGAAGGGCACAGACCATCAGCTGCAGCTTTCATTACTTTTTTGACAGGCAAGCCGTTTCCACACTCGTTACTAGTTTGACACTTTGACTAGATCGACCAGTTAACGGCCGCTCAATTCAGCCACACTATAATAAAGCAATCAGCTCAGTTAAAATGGTCAAACGTGATGGGAGTATGGGCATGGGCTATACAAATTCAATTTCATGTACAGTTGCAAAACTGAACTGATTTTTTTTATTTCTAAGCTTGCATTTCTCCTAATGGAAGCACATACACCCACACACCCTGTGGGGGGGGGCTGTAAAATACTCTGCAAAGCTATTCCATTCCCCACAGTGGCAAGCATCTTGAAAAATCTTCCATTGCCCCAACTCTGATAAACAGATCAATCCCTTCCAATTCGGCTAGACCCCACCTGGCCCAGGGTCCACCCTTGTGCACATATTTTTTTTCATTGACACGAAAGAAGAAAGGGGTCTATTGGTGGGGAGAAGATGACCAGCAAGAGGAGAGCAGGAAGGATGGGAAAGGACTACTAGAGGGAGAGGAGGGTGACCAATAATAAAGTATAATGCATAGAGCATGGAAATACCATAATGAGGCCCATTACTTTCTATGCTAGCTTAAAAAAATGTCCCCAGAAACTGGTCTGAAAGGCAGGTCTGAAAGGAGGCCTCATATTTAGGATTAAATTATGTGGAAGTACTCCAGTTTTCATGTTCATAATTTTGAAAAAGAAATTATCCCTACTGGGGCTGGTAGGATGTCTCAGCAGGTTAAGGCATTTGCTTCCAAGCCTGAGTTTGATCCTGAGGTGGAAGGAAAGAATGGATTACCCCAAACTGTTACCTGACCTCCATTTGTATACCACAGCACATATGTATTCTGTTAAATATTCCTATTACTTATTCTGTTGGCTTTTGTTTGTCTGGAGTTTGAATTTAGGAGGCTGAGGATCACACTGGAGACCTGGCTGAACCAGAGCTCAGTATGCAGCCTAGGATGGCTTTGAATCTGGGGTGGCAGGCATGAGGCACCATACGCACTTGTTGGTTTTTATAAAAATGTGGACGTATCTACTGTAGTGGCATCTTGCCTTGCCAGTGAACTTGTGGTGGTGGCCACACTCTTTGGGCATGGTTTCAGGTGCAGACATAACCCATTATGGAGGAGGGTCAAGCAAAAGCTCTCATAGGGTTGCAGAGAGCACCCTGAAGGGCAGAGACTGCATGTTCTGGAGCAGGAAGAGTGTGGTGATTCTTTCCCTTTATCTGTGTAAGTGCCTCTCTAATAAATGCCTATTTATCATTTATCTTGGGTCTAGTAGGCTCATTTAAACCCCACCTTTAATCTACTTTCTTGAATAGAAATTTGAAGGCATACACCTTCATAACATTGCTTTGACTTAAGAAGACAAACTGTTAAATCTGTAGAGATCATAGTATTTGTCTTCCAGTTGATTTTATAGTGCTTCCAAACTCCCTGCAGCAGCTTACAGTGCCCTTCCTCCATGACCTTGTGTGCATCTTTAGAAGCCACGTCTGCAAAGACCTCTATCTCAGCTTATCTCAATTTTGACAGAATGTACCATGGGTCTTAACCAATGGGAGAAGCCTTGGGGGTGATATCCACTACTTTCCCTCTTTCCTCGGGGAAGTTGTCACAAATCACTTTCTTATCACCTCCTGGGTCTTCAGAGGTGTGGGGCTTTATACCCTGCCCCCTGAAAATGGAGCTATAGAGTAGAAAAACACATAGCTTCCATTTAGAACTGACCCCTCAGCCATGGAGAATCCCACGACTTTTACAGTGTTATCTGTTCCCTTCTCTTTGGTGTTATTCTTTTCAGAGCCTGGGGTAAGAAGTGGAGGTTTGCAATTTTAGCTACTCCCCCATTTACTATGAAATAATCGATATATCTAAGTGTGATTCATTGTATCTTTCTCAACTGGTTAGTCAGTCAGACCTTGGCCTTGACTTGAGCTTAGCTTGTGATTATATGTGATACTTTTCAATATTCTCCTGCCTCTGAGTACAATCCCTAGCCTTTCCCTGTATCTTAGGAAGGAGTATAAAATGGGATGCCTCGAGAGATAAGAAACAAGCTGTAGGAATCATAACCATGTATGGCAGGGAGTAAAGGAAGGAGGAAAGATCTGTGAATGGAACTGGGAATGACTGGTGAAGAGTAGGGTGGGAGACAGAAAAGGATGCATCCATGCTGAGCTCCATTCCTGGCTTCTCCCCAGGACAACAGTGGTCTTGACAGTCAAAAGGTGTGGTAAAGGTTCAAGCATGACTGTCTAAAGACCAAGTTATCAATTTGAAGTGTTTTTCCTGTCCCTTAAGCAATATGACAAGATCAGAAATATTAAAAGTTCAAACTTTGGAAAGAGGCTCCCTGGTTCATATCTCTGGGTGTGTGTTTTAGCAAGTACAACCCCAATCCTCATATCCTCAGTGAGAAGAATGGAATGGAATCCATTCTATACAGATGCAGTGAAGACTATATGGACATGAAAAGCACTTAGAGTATCATCAGGCACCTGTAATAGAGATCTGACTATTCACTATTACATCAGTAAGTATTGTTGAGACTTCTGTAAAAGGAAGGCTAAAATCAAAGGGTTGTTATTACAGATCCAGCCTTTAGTACAGCACACAAACTCTTTACTTGAAAGTTTTACAAGTTGAACATATAGAACCACATAAGCAGGGAGAGAGGTGCACATCCAAACTCCAGTGATGCAACCCTTAATTCCTGAACTATACTAGTAAAAGACAGGTCTGAAATAACATGCCAAAATGGTTCCTGCTGTATTTTGAATGGGTCCTCAAAAGTTCATACGGTGGAAACTTGATCCCCAATGCCACAGTACTGACAAATAAAACTTCAATAGTTGTTTAGGTGAGCTGCCTTTAGGAGTAGATTAATGCTCTATTGCAACAAATAAGTTCACATTTTTTTCAGCACTGGGTCCCTTATAAATCCAGTCTCAGATTTTCTAAAAGAAGAAAAAGGAGGAAGAGGTGGAGGAAAAAAGAAAGAAAGAAGAAAGAAAGGAGGGAGGGAGAGAGGGAAGGAAGGAAGGAAGGAAGGAAGGAAGGATAAGATGGAGCTAATTTTTTTAAAGACAGTATTTAAAAAGAGGCATCAAGCCCAATGGCAGAATACTCACCCCAACCAGCTAGACAAAATTTAAGGATATAATTTGGTATGTATGTATTGAAGACTTTGACTAGAGCAAAGTACATGTGGACTGCTTCCAGGCCCATCCAAGTCAAAGACACAAGCAGAAAGTAATGAAGTGCCACTGCAGCTGTGATACATAGTCCCACTTTCTGATATGATGCTAGCCAGGAATTAACCAGAAATGCTAGGTTGAGCATCAGTAGCGCTGTGCATAGGTTGATCAGAATTTTGGAAGGATAATCTTTTCGAAGTTTGCTTTAAAACAAATAAACAAATGTTAGGCCAGATGGGATCTCCTTACCAAATTAAGTACTGCCACATCTCATCTAGATAGTAAAACAACAAGAATTGAGCATTAGTGGCACATAAGTCCCCATCCCTCCCTGAGGAGTTCTGGATAATAAATGGTTGTACCAATCGATGATGGAAGTTATAGTGGCTTCGTTTTCCTGTGAACACTTTCTACTGTTGATACTTTAAAATTGTGCTATTCTGGTAGGTGCCTGGGCATGTAACTGGGGGGGGAGTGGATTTTTTTGTTTTGTTTTTGTTCGTTGTGGTTGTCATTGTTTTTTCTTGGTTGGTTGGTTTTTATTGTTAATAAAACTTTTTTGTTTGTTTAGTTTTTATACTTGAGAATTGCATACAGCTCTACAATGAAATATCATATCTACCTCCATTTTCTCCTCCACTCCTCCCATTCTCCCCCCATCCCCGCTCATCCACCTCTCAACTTAAAGTCACTTTTACAAATAATTATGGTTTAAATGAGCAATTCTGTGATGAGTAAAGATGTTGAGAAACTTATCATATGATCACATACTTACTAACCATTTGGATGCAAATTAGGGCTGCCCAAGGGCATCCTTTCCTGTGAAGTGTTCACTCAGTTATTTGGTCCACTTTTCAATTTTCTGTCTTGCTTTTTAATTTGCATGTGTGCACATATACAAACAAACACAAACACACACACACACACACACACACACAGAGAGAGAGAGAGAGAGAGAGAGAGAGAGAGAGAGAGAGAGAGCAAATATCCAAACATCATCTCCCAATTTGGTTACCCTTTCACTAACTTAATTCTTTTCCTCTGATAAAAGGATTCTTGTTCCTAATGAAACTTTAGACTTTTCCTTTTATGGCCGCTGTCCTCGTATCAGAGTAGAGAGATTTTACTCTTGATCACAAACCTCGCTTTTAAAATACTCCAATAAGTTATTTTGCTCTTTTAAATCTTGCCCACTTCAGAATATAATGATGTAACCTCTTTCTGTTGTGTTATATCCATGAATTTAACAAGGTTTCAATGACAACACATCCATAAAACCAAATTCAACTTGCTCAGAGCTAAGTTGTACAAACTTACTGGAAAGCTATGTATGTCACCATTGCAATCCCCAGGAAAATGGAGGAGATCCCACATCCTGTATAAGTTATGATCACTAGTATCCGTTCGTTCACTGCATCCACCGTAGACCTAGACAAATCCTAGAATTGCAATATGTAGTGCTTTACACATTTATCAGAACAAGTTTCAAGAAAAATGCTTCTAGTGCTCACAAACAGGTGGTTCCCAGGACATATAGCACCTGTGTTATAGCTCTTATATAGTCAGATGGTGTGAGTGTGTATTGATAAGAGCATATACAGTTTGACCAGGTCTATGACAGCTTACTGTGCACAGAGCATGGAAAGTCATCAACAACACTGAAAGAACATTTAGTCCCTGGCTTCTTTGTCATTAACATGTTCAGCACTTGAAAATATAACTAAGCTAATGGATTTGAATATGGGATGCAAAGTGAATCATTATCTGAACTGAGTGTCCCCAAAAATACTACACAGAATATTAAAAAGATGTTGCTTTTCCTTAGACCTTAAATAACTTTTATAAAATTAAGAGATAAAGTGGTCCGTTGTTTAAATTAATAGTCCTGTCATGTCTTAATCTGAAGACCACAAAGATCTGCAATGACATGCAATATTATTTGAATATATACATGCACTGGTTTGAGCAGAAAATCCATAGCTTTCATTAGACACTTATGGTTCTATGCCTCATAAGAAGTTAGGATGTATTTTATAGAATCTAGGAAGTATTAATCTATTCTTGGAGTTCTCAATTAGAAGGAATATATACCTCCTGCTGGGACATTTGCCAGGACCTAGACATATGTTTTGGTTGTCACAACTGAGGAAGGTGTTAGTGACTTGATTGGGAAGAGGCCTGGGATGCTGCTGACCATCTTACAATGCACAGAACTGTTCTCCACATCATAGAACTCTGTGTTCTAAATATCAGTCTCATTGAGATAAGAGAAAATCTCCCTCCTAGCATTCACACTTCAGAAGAAAGATCTATGTTCCAAGCAAGTGAAACCCCTCAAAGCAAACTGCAAAGCTAATTGCTGATAGAGCTAGAACAGGGGCATGAGGCTTTTGATGCATGTGGTATAGCCACCGGGAGTGAACAAAACAAAGTTCTCACAATTCGGCCTTGAATATGTTGAATCAAGGTTTCAAAGGAAATACAAAGCAAACTCAAGTCAGTGTGGATAGGCATCCCTATGCACCCACTACTTGGGAGACTCTGCCAGGAAGATCATGAGTCCCAGACAAGCATGGGCTACACACTGACTCTGTATGTTATACAGCGCTTCTTCAGTTATCTTTTGAAGTTGGAGGAGTGGCCCTTAATTTTATAAAGAGAAAAATAAACACCGGTTTCAATATTCTCCATTTTAGTAAACACATGGAAAGAGCCATTTTCTGCTTGTATGCCATTTTTCATTATTTAGTTTACATGTACATTAAAAGCTTGAACCTACTAAAAGTTGTCAAAATTCCATTGAAGAGTGATAAAGAGACAACTCACCATTAAAACTCCAAAGTGGGTGAGGTGGTTACACTGACAGATTGTGTAATTTACATTGGTTTCCTTTACTTTACAGCCTGATGAATTCCATCCACCTAGCCCATCTGCGGGGGACAGAAGGGAATTTCAAAGCAATTTTACTTTTCTCAGAAATGTTTAATTTTTCATTATATGAACCATCCGAACGTGTGTTATAATTAGCATTGTTTGTTAAGACAGCAACATTGAGATACAATTGAACAGCAAAATTAGATTACATTTAATAGGCCAAATTGACGTGTGTGTCAGGGGTGCAGGGTGGCGGTGGGGCTTTGTGCATAGTCTAACTTTGTTGTCACTCACTTTTCCTGTTTCTGTACCGTGCCTCTGCGGATTAAAGTAGATTCTAATCGAGCAACTGTTCCTGCCACCATACTGAAACGACATGTTATGTAAGTAGCCAATAAAATAAATAGACAGATTTGGATGTTTCAAAAGGACCTAGACTTTGGAATATAGGCTGCCACTTAGCCAACTCGGGCGTTTATATTAGAAGCAGCCAGTTGCACCCAGAAACTTAATGGGCTCATGTGATCATGGTCTAGAGATGCTTTCAGCCCATTAGAACCTTGCAGATCTTGGGCTCTGGAGCTTGTTTAGGGTGGTAGTGCAGCAAAAGAGTTATCTCAGGATAGGTATCCAGGTGTGAGCAGATTTGTCACCCTGGAATACTGCCTTTAGATTCCAGATGTTCTAGATTCCCAGCATAGAAAGCCAAGAGTTTCCTGGGAATGGGAACAACCACAAAGAATCAACACAGGGATCAACTTATTGAAGCTGTGGAGGACAGAGCTTGTCACTTTATAGGACCATTTTTCTGACAGACTTTGGGGGAGCCAGGGGAGGACACGTTGTTTCTGCTTGTCAGAAAGAGGTAGTGTTCTGTCCCCTGAGGAGCTAAGTAGAAGAGTGTCTCTTTTCTCTCAGATTTCTAGATGGGAAAAGTACCCAAGCAGAGCTCCCTAGATAGAAGAATGTTTTCTCACCAGCAGCCATGACATTCCTAGGAGAGATTGGTTGTGTGGGAGAATTCTCTGAGATATGGTGTTAACCCTAGACACTCCAGGGGAGGTAGCAAACCTAAGAGAAATCCAGTCAGCAGTAATGACACCCAGCACCTTCATAGATGCAATTAGCCAAGCAAGAAGGACTTTTCAGGATTAGCAAAGAAGTCTCGTCTTCTAAATGAGATGATTAAAAGATTGGATCCATTACAGGGCATAGAGCCTTTCCGAGGACTCACCATCATTATAAAAGAGTGGAAGAAAGTAAATAGTGACAATCCTGGTAAGAAAGTACACCTAAAGAGCCAGGGGATCCCTCCTCAGGCCTCTTCAAATAATTCACAGTTATTTGGCACTGGGACTTCAAATTGCACTTTTTCCAATCTTACTTACCCATAAGTTGGGTTATTTTATAATTTCTATAATAAATGTCTTATCAAAAGGAATTTTCTTAAATGTCATGCCCTAAAAGTCATATAGGGTATCTTGGTCATGCAGAGTGCTCTGTGGTGCCTGATTAGACAAGAGCTGCACAATATGGCCTCCCTCTCAACCCCAGACAGGTCGAGGTCTGTTTCTGTAAATACTTACCGTTAGTGTCGAAATCCCAAAAGGCACAGGAAACTTGATCATAATTCTGAAAAAAGAAAATTACAGCTAAAATAGCTTTCCTTGCAAGGGTTACTGCACAGAATAATACACAGAAGTGTTTTCAAGTTTTTTTAGTCAGTGGAGACACAAGTGTACACACATGTAACCACACAGAAGAAAGAAGGGGCAGAAAGATCATCTATGACTAGTTTTTAAGTCTAACTCCATCTAGCTCTCGGCTTTGAAACAAGAAAATAGCATGTCACTACATAGCAATGTAGCATGTGCCATTTACTAACAGTAAGATCTGCCAGTTGGTGCCAGGCTCAGGGGGAAGCTGTAGATAACCCATGAGAGAGTGATGTATGGTAGGTATTCTTTATGAGGCTTTGGAATTTGGGACTCACAGCTATGATCATTCTTCATGGATACATGCCTAAGTTGCCTCCTCATTAAGCCTGTTGAAGAGTCAGTCCTAAAATTTTCCCTAGCTCATACAATCTCAGAGAGACTGGAGGTAAAGGACAATTTATTCCCAGGAATGATCTGAGAGTCATAGTCACAGTCAAAATTGAGAGATCTTACCCACCTAACATGTTTTATTTTCAATCTGGTTCCTAAATTCCCTCTCCCACTCTCTCTTCTTTTCTCTTTAAGACTAGTGGAAAATATGTTGGACCATATGGTTTCTTAGATAGGGAATGAAGGAAGCTATTAAAACTTCACACTGGACACATATTAATGTCAAAGAATGAAACAGTAACTAATTCTTTTACTAAGACTGAATTTGATCATTTAGTAATATATGCCTTATATTATTCCATATGATTATCATTTTAATCCTTTGGAAATTAATACATGTATTAATGCTCATGAAAGATCAAAGAATATAAATGTTACTTTCAATGAAGTTGTTGTTGATCTCACTCAAAAAATGCATGGAATTTAAAGGATTTTACTGTTACAACCAAGAGATCTGCTTAGTTACTGTCTTGCTAGAATGGCTGCTATTCCAGATCCTTTGAGGGGACAGCATTGTTTCTAGAAATATTCAGTTATACTTCTGCTACATGAAGTTGGAAAATCATCATGAAGTCTTTGAATTGAATGCTAACTGGCCATTTTTTGAACAGGAAAACCACAGAGGAGTTCTGTTTGCTTCCCAGATGAAAATAGATATATTACCCAGTTTCCTTGAATATGCTTCAGAATGATAATCACTGGATCAGCCAAGTTTTGAATGGACATATTTGAGATGCTTGCACTCACAACATATGTCATTAATGTAGTAGTAATGTTTTTGGCCTGCAGATGAAACATAAAGGTCTTAAATGTCTAATTTCTTATATAAGCATTATCAATCTACAATTGGTGATGTGCTACACAGTTTGGGCACAGAAGTGTGGAAAAACCACAATCTAAGGGTGAGTTTTCAGTCATTCAGTTCATCTCTGCCATTCACATAAGGCTCAGTGATTTTAAAAACTAGAACAATTCATTAATTTATCTATCTATCTATCTAGAACAAATCTATCCAACCAACATTGGGCTTGTAGCCCTTGCAACAAAGTAAAATATACTGTGCTTTGGTAATGCTCCAGATCTAAACATTTCACAATTTAATTTGGTTGTAAGTCTTGATCATCCATCCTTATAAGAACACCTTTTCTAATAAGGGATCTGAATACATCATGAATTAGTTATGAGCCATTTGATTGTCTATAAATTATAGGAGAAGAAAGTAGGTTTATCAACACCCATCTTGGAGCATGTCTTCAAGAATAGTCAGCTCCACTCTGGAAGACCACAGGCTCTGAGGCCCAAGTCCACACATTATATCCTGGCATGCCTTTCACAGTCTAAATAGCAGGTATTGGCCCTTTTGGATCCTGTGATCCAGATAGTTGGCTACATGCTTTCCACATGCATATTCTTCAGCTCTCACTGACATCACATGGCCATTTTTATCAGCTAAACTGAGGTTTGGGTAGGCTTAGTACCTGTATGTACAAAGATCACACAGCCAATGAGTGGCAGCATAGGAACTTTGACCTTGTTAATTAGAGTGGCTCATAGCTCTACAAATATGTAGATTTAAAGACAACAAACTAAAATGTATTTGTAAAGATATGAGATTCTCTAATTAACAAGGCCAAAGTTCCAAAGGCCAAAATTCCAGAAGGCCAATTAGCTAAGTGATACTTCCTCTGTTGTGTATATAAAACCACAGATAGGCTGGAGTAAGATGAGAGGGAGATGAAGAAAATCCTCTATTAAGAAAGCCTGATGTGCAGATGACATCCACTGAAGGGCCTACTGGACATGGTTAGAAGATGCCACTGGGAAAATAGTGTGCCTAGCTACTCCCTAGTCAAACTAAACATTGAGTAACCATGAATGTGCTCTTGGTCAACTTGGAAGTGTCCTACTTTCTGTTCATGACCACTTGTGTTCATCCTAAACAGCCGTGTGATGGTTAATATTGCAACATGATAGGATCTAGAAACTTGATAGTATATAAACTTCTGGGCATGTCTGAGAAGCATCATCTAGGTTGGGTTGGCCTCTAGGCATACCTTTGAGGGAATATCTAGATTAGGTTAATTGAAGCAGAAGATCCACTCTAAATATGGGTGGAACCATTCATTCAACTAGGAGTCCTGGGATGAATAAAAAAGGAGAAAGCTAGCTAAGCATCAGCAGTCATTTTTGGCTACTGCAGACACTATGTGATCAGCTTTCTCAAGCCTCTGTCACAAGGATTTCCTTATTGTGGTGGACTGTACCCTCAAACTGTGAACCAAAATCAATCCTTTCTTGCTTAAGTTCCAACAATTAGACAAATAACAAATACATACATACTCTGATGACTTAGTATCCCTGAGGCAGCCTGCTAAAGCAAAACATCAGCAAACCATGATGGTGGTAAGGTCTTACTGACACTCAAAAAAAACAAGTGATAGCCTAAGTCCCCTGGTTCTTCCAAAGACCTTCTCTTCTCTGGGTCATTGGTAACATGAGGAAGGAGGGTAGACCAGATGAACTCTAACTATCCTCCAACTTAACTTAAGGTATGCAGTTCTCTGCAGTGAAAAGGCCAAAGGAAGAAATATCCATAAAAACACACTTAACTAACCCATTCTCTGGATTCATGTTTCTTACCTATTGTAGTGGCATATTGCTCCACCAATGGGCTTGGAGTGGTGGCCACACCTTAGGGCATGGCTTCAGTGTATGCAAATGTGACCCCTTATTATTTTTTTGCAGATTTTTTTATTTGAATTAGAAACAAGATTTTTTTCATGACAATCCCAGTTCCCTCTCCCTCCCGTCCTCCTCTGCCACCCCCCCCCAACTAAAACCCTACCTATCACATATCCTTTCTGCTTCCCCTAGATGGTGAGGCCTTCCATAGGGTGTCATCAGAGTCTATCATATACTTTGGGATAGGGCCTAGGTCCACTCCCATGTGCCTTGGCTCAGGGAGTATTCCTCTATGTAGAATGGGCTCCCAAAGTCCACACCTATGCTAGGGGTAAGTACTGAACTACTACAGGAGGTCCTGTAGATTTCCGAGGTCTCCTCACTGAAACCCATGTTCCTGGGGTCTGGATCAGTCCCATGATGGTTTCCCAGCTATCAGTCTTGGGAGCAAGAGTTCCTGGATGTTCAGGTTAGCTGTTTCTGTGGGTTTCACCAGCCTGGTATGGATCCCTTTGCTCTTCACTCGTCCTTCTCTGCAACTGGATTCCAGTTCAGTTCAGTGATTAGTTGTGGGTGTTTGCTTCTACTTCCACCAGGGGATGGATGAAGGCTATAGGATGGCATATAAGTCAGTCATCAATCTCATTATCAGGGGAGGGCATTTAAGGTAGCCTCTCCTCTGTTGCTTAGATTGTTAGCTGGTGAATTGTGATCCCTTATAAGGAGGAGGAGGGGTTGGCTCAAGGTCTCTTGGGTTGTGGTTGGAGCATCCTGAAGGGCAGAGGCTGCATCGCCAGGAGCAGGAAGACCACGGTGGTTATTTACCATCATTGTGTGAGTGCGCCCCAAAATATATATATGATAATTTTTTATCTGGGTAATTGTGGACTTCCTTTAACATACCTTTACTTGGCACCCAACATGAGCCAGCACCTCCTCTTCCTTGTAAGGGGTCACATGTACACATTGAAGCCAGGCCCTAAAGTGGGGCCAGCACCCCACGTTCAATGGCAGAACAAGATGCCACTGAAACCTACAACACAGTAAGCACAGGGGGGATCATTTTACATTCCTCTAGACTCAAGTTTTACCTGTTATACCTCTGAACATTTATACAGATGTTTCCTCTGTGCCAACTCTATTCACTCATTTCATTTTGTGCCCCCTTCACAGCTGAGATCTCCTCTAACCCAGGTAGTCCCTGCTCTTCCCTCTTCTACAGTCCCAGAGTCCTTACGCCATAGTGTGCTTGCTCAGTTCCATTGCTCCTCCATAAGAGCTGCAGCTGGTGGAAGAAAGGAAGAGGCACAAGATGCTCAAGAGTGGTGGATTATCAACAATTTCTAAGGTAATATGTTGTAACGACTGTTAAGATTTCGATCAAAAGTTGTCAGAGAAAGCTGTGTAAAACTAAGGCTGTGGGGCCTGGGCACTGAAGAGAAAGGTAGTTACAGGGTAGCATGCCTTCAATCATTTACTCCTCAGCCACTAGTGACATGGGTCCAGCCCCATGTCCCTCTTTTAATGTTAGAAACTTCTACTTTCTGTTCTCTTTTAATTCATTGTATTATTCCTAAGAGCAGACCTCACCTCACTCTTGCTTAGCACTGAAGCCCTAGCACCCAGCACCTAGCATCCAGCACATAGCACCCACTACCATGGAAGACCTAGAGTAGGAATGAAATGACTATTTGATGAATCAATAAATGATTGAGTGAATGAAAGAATGAATTATGTCACCTTCAGCAAAAGCCTTCCCATTTCTGGGTCTTGGTGACCTCACTGGCACAATGAAGATATGGACACTGTGAGTTATGAGGGCGCTTCCAGCTCTGAATTGGATGCCAAGCTGGTTCTAACCCTTCTTCACATGGCACTATGACGTCTGTAGGCTAATTTTGGCGAAGGTCTTTAGTCTATTTCAATGGAAGGTGCTAGCGAATCAAAATTACTTATTAAGTGTGAAATCTATGCAAAGCAAGTTTATCTCTCATTCTGAGAGACAAGCACAGCCCTCTAAAGGAAGAAGGGAAATTAAGACCAAAAATAATGGCATCTCTGATGACACAGAGCAGTGACAAGAATACCAAAAGGTTCAGACAGCTATGGAACACATTTTAAATAATTATTACAATATTTGTCCACTAATTTTTTCCTGGGTACAGAGAAGAGAAAATGGAGTTATTAATTCTGGGGAGGCATCCTGGGTAGGATTTGAACTAAAACTACAGAAACAAACAGAATTTAGCTAGAGAGAAGAATGGTTACAGAATGCCAGGGAAACAGAATACCTTGCAAACACATTTGGTGGTGACGTGGTACACTTACATTGGTAGGTGCTAAAACTATCTGCCATATTTTTACTAGACAAGTATAATGTCCTCCCCAATAAATCTGTGAATATTTGACCACTAAGAATACATTTCTTTGGACAGTTCCTTAGACATGCAAGCACATCTGGACAAATTAATTTCAAATATAGGAACCTTGAGGTTGGGGAGATGGCTTAGTGGCTAAGTTCTTTCTGTGCTAGCATTGGACCATTTTTTGGATCCACAAAACCCATGTAAAATGCCAGGAGGCTGACCTCTAATTCCAGCTGTGGAAGGCAGACACATATGATCCCCAGACAAGTCACATTGGCAAGCTGTGGTTTTAACTAAGAGACATTTTCTTGACGAATAAGGTGGAAGAACAATTAAAGGATGATTCTTGACATCAACCTTACGCCTCCCACATGCACACATACACACATGCATATGCAGCCCCTACATATACATCCATATGTGTTTATGTATGTGTGTGCCTGTGTGCCTGTACACACAAACATGCATGAACACACACACACACACACACACACACACACACACACAAATGATAAAGAAAAAAAAAAACCAAATGTCAGAACTTTGACAATAGACAACCTGAACTTGATCCCCTAACTATACCACTTCATCACTGTGTGACCTTAGGTCAAACTATTTTGCTGAGCCTCAGTTTCCCATGAGAAATAAATGAGGCAGTAAGCATAAATTCTAATGACTGAAGCTGGTTGTGGTGGCACATGCCTTTAATCCCAGAATTCAGGAGGTAGAAGCTGTAGGATCTCTGACATCCTTATCTACAAAGAAAGTTCCAGGTCAGCCAGAAGTTCGTGATGAGAGCTTGTCTCAAATTAACAGTGCTCACTGTCATGAACTTCATGCCAGCTCTGGTTGCTGTCATCTCAACAGCATGATGACATAGAGTTGTCCTAGGCAGAGACCCAATCCTATAATAACAACAGCAATGCAAACATTTACTCGGTGCTTAGGATGTGCCAGGCAATACCATAAGCACTTTACAGTTATTAACAGGTCCATAAGGTCCTATTCTTAGACTATTTTATGTTGCAAAAAAATACAGCATCCAGAGGTTGAATCACTTTCCAGAAATCATACAGGTAGAAGACAGCGATGGTGGCTTCAATTCCCAGCAGCTGGTCCCCGGACCACATTCTAACTTAAGGTGAGTTTTAGATCACTCAGAGCTAGAAGCCATGAGAGATGGAGGAAGAAATAATAAGTTGAAAGCAATCTCATCAGGAGAACATGCCGTTCTTTTCTTGCTTTGAAACATCTTAAGGCCTCTATTTGGTCACCAGATAACCCTTAAGGTCCCATCCAAAGCTTAGGAGCTGTGAAAATTCAGAAGTTTAAAACATCATTAAAGTAGATGTTGATTCATGTGGAGGGCCAGAGGTTGTGCTGAAAGACTTGTGGAATCAATCAGAGCATATTCTAAAATAAACAGAACATCATGAAAATAGCAGTAGTTCATAATTGCAGTGACTCACCATGTCAGTTCATGACAGTTACCAGAGGCAAAAACTTACCTTAAAGAGTGAGGTTTGGCCAAAAAAATTAAACAAGATGGTTTGTAAGCCATTAAGAGGAACTTTTTCCCTCAGTGATTTAGGCAAATATATGGAAGCCAAGACCCTCCTTAGAGGGATACCACCAAGGAAAATCTGCCAAGAAAAATCAGGAAATGAAAGCTGGAGTCTTCACCTATCATAGTGACATCCCCTCCTCCTCCCATGCCAACCAATTCAGAGTTCCCACAGAGGACTGAGGCTGAGAGTTAGGGCCTGGTTCCATGGGCTGCCACACACTTGCTACACACACACACACAGACACAGACACAGACACACACACACACAGACACA